CTAAGGAGTCTCTGCCCCTTCCTTAAGCGACAACTTTTTGAGCAAACCACAAGGCGGGAGGAGGGGTTTGTCCCGCGGAGAGAGAGGAGGAGGAGGAGGAGGAAGTAAGTGAGGGGAGCGCCGAGGCCGGAGGGGCAGGGGGCTGCTCCGTGCCTCCGCCGCCGCCCCGCTCCCCCGCGGTGCCCCTGGAATCTACCGGGCCCAGCACGGAGGGCTGGCTGCAAACTCTGCCGGCGGCCCGAGCCCGAGGCTGGGAGTGCCTGCAGCCCCCTCCTCCCCGGGGGCGCGGGGAGACCCGGCAGGAGTTCACGGACCCCTCTCTGCTACGGAGCTGCTTTTAACTCCCTAAGATGAGGATCCGTCTGGCGAGAAGATGGACGTGGGTCCGCAAAAGCTGCGTGTTCCTCGGCTTCTTAATGATCGCTTACTTTGTGGTCGAGCTGTCGGTTTCTTCCTTTGGTGCCTCCCTCGCCGGCGAGAGCATCACTAAAGGGAAATGGGAGAGGCGCTTTTCTGACAGAGCAGAAGAAGCTGTCGATTTGGCTCGTCCAGTGTATGACAAACCCCGACCTGACCCTTACGCTCCGGGAGAATGGGGTAAACCCTCTCGCCCACAGCTGAGTCCTGAGGAAAAGAAACAGGAAGAAGAGCTGATTGAGAAATATGCAATAAATATTTATTTAAGTGATAAAATTTCTCTCCACCGGCACATTGAAGATAATCGACTGAGTGGTTGTAAAGCTAAATCTTACAACTACAGAAGACTGCCCACCACATCTGTTATAATTGCTTTCTACAATGAAGCCTGGTCAACACTGCTGCGGACGATACACAGTGTTCTTGAAACAACACCTTCAGTGCTTCTGAAAGAAATTATACTGGTGGATGACCTGAGCGATAAAGTGTATTTGAAGGCTGAACTCGAAAAATACATAAGCAGTCTGAAAAGAGTTCGCTTGATAAGAACCAACAAACGAGAAGGATTGGTTCGTGCACGCTTGATTGGCGCTACCTTTGCTACCGGTGATGTTCTCACATTCCTGGATTGTCACTGTGAATGTGTTTCCGGCTGGCTGGAACCACTGCTCGAAAGGATTGCTGAGAATGAGACTGTTATTGTTTGTCCTGTCATTGACACCATTGACTGGAAAACATTTGAATACTACATGCAAACGGCAGAGCCCATGATTGGGGGCTTTGACTGGCGGCTGACGTTCCAGTGGCACTCGGTGCCTAAACACGAACGTCTCAGGCGCAGATCTGAAACCGATCCAATCAGATCCCCAACTATGGCTGGTGGCTTGTTTGCTGTCAGCAAGAAGTATTTCGAGTACCTGGGAACCTATGATACAGGAATGGATGTTTGGGGAGGGGAGAACTTAGAATTATCATTTAGGGTTTGGCAGTGTGGCGGCATGTTGGAGATTCATCCGTGCTCCCATGTGGGCCATGTGTTTCCAAAGCGCGCGCCCTATGCTAGACCAAATTTCCTTCAGAACACGGCACGTGCTGCTGAGGTGTGGATGGATGAGTTCAAAGACCACTTCTACAACAGAAATCCTTCAGCAAGGAAAGAAAATTACGGAGACATTTCTGAAAGAAAGATTCTTAGAGAGCGTTTGAAATGCAAGAGTTTTGACTGGTATTTAAAAAATGTATTTGCTGAGTTGCACGTACCAGAAGATCGTCCAGGCTGGCACGGTGCTATCCGCAGCATGGGAATACCTACAGAGTGCCTTGATTATGTCTTACAGGAACATAATCCTACAGGGTCTCACCTTTCACTCTTTGGCTGTCATGGGCAGGGAGGCAACCAATTTTTTGAATATACATCAAATCAGGAGATTAGATTTAACTCTGTAACTGAGTTGTGTGCTGAAGTCCCTGAGCGTGAAGATTTCATAGGTATGAGGAGCTGCCCAAAAGATGGATCTCCCATCCCAGAAATTATTATCTGGCACTTCAGAGAAGATGGGACTATTTATCATCCTCACTCGGGGAAGTGCCTTACTGCTTATCGTACAACTGAGGGGCACGCTGATGTGCAAATGAGAACTTGTAATACTGGAGATAAAAATCAGATTTGGAAATTTGAAAAATAATCACTGCTGGTAGTGTGAATTGAATGGACTGTGATCTCCAAGCTTTTTACACGTGTGAGCAGATAGCAGTGTTTGATTGAGTACCTTGGAATGTTTTCGGATGTGTCTGTAGTGATGAACTATATGGAAAGCAAAAGTAAATAGTGGGGTTTGGTTTCTAAAACATGGATTAGAACACCTGATACTTTTTACTTTTGTAAAATTTTGATCCATTATTAATTTGCTCAGTCTTGAATATGGTAAAACAAAACTTTCTGAGTGGACTGAGGAGGGATATTTTCCATCTTAAAATTATGCAATAATCCTGCAAGATAATGTTACATGTAAACAAAAAAAATTTACTTACAGAATGAAAGTTAAGGTTCTTGCAGTGGTATTAGCTGACCTATGTTGCATTTGCATTATAAAATATGTATCTAACACCCTAAGTAATGCTACAGTAGCATTGGAGTAGATTGAATGGCACATTGATTGACGGTACATGCTATTAAGGGTACTATATTACATAGAAGAACAGGAAGTTTATTTACCTAGGAGGGCTTTGGCACTGCTTTGCAATCTTGTACCTATTGTATAAATCTTACCCCATGGGGCTTAGTCAGGAGCTCTCATGCATTTAGAGGTGAGTGTGGTACCAGTGGAACCAAGGACGTGCTGGCGATATCACAAATGGAAAAAAATAGGGACAGCTACAAGTAAGAATTGCGTTTAAAGGCAATGGAACGAAGTGAGCCACAAAATTGCCTTAGCTACTGCTGTTTCTTAGCTATATATTTAATGTATGCATTGCCTCTGTGTAAGTTTTCCATGTTCAGCCCTACATCCTAGGGACACAAAAGTTATGTGATCTAGACCCATGTTTGGATTTTTTGTTGTTTGTTTTTTGTTGGTTTTTTTCATTTCATCTGTCAGCAGGGTAGAGGAAGGTAACATCGAGGAGCATTTGGGATGTTTTATTTTGCTTTCTGTGTTTTGGCAACAGCTGGCATGGGCCAGCCCTTGAAAGAGTTTTGAAATAATACAGCATTAACTGCCTCTAGTCAAAACAATACTACTGGAGACCTTGGGTAAGGCTGGGAAGCAGAAGCTTCTGACATGAAGGGAGTTGAAATGACAAAGGACAGCTTGGATGAAACTAAGATTTGTTGGTAAGGTGGTTCAGAGAATTACTTATTTAGAATGTTTTCTTTTTTCTGTTATGCTGAGTTTTTGAAGAATACTGATTCTTGAATCATATCACTAATTGTTTTGATTGTGTTTATAGATGGTAGATGTCACAGATATATTGTGTACTTGAAAGAAATTTTTCATTAGTATCTGTAGTTTAGTTTCATAAGATTTAAGTTGAACACTTTTCTTAATGTGTTGTGCATTCCAGCTGCTTTGATTATTTTCAATGAAGTGATAAATGTTCTTCAGTAGTAAGTAATAGTTTAGCAAGTCTTTACATGGGGCTGGTAGGTAGAAATGTAAGCTAGTGAGCATTAGGAATCTGGATACTTGAGGAATGTAATGGATGTGCATTTGCTACAGGTGTTGGTGGTGGAAGGGTTAAAAAGGGACTAGTGAAGCCTGATGTAGTTGAAGTTTTGCCAAAAATAAAGTAAGAGTAAGTTAGAACATATTCTTAAATCTTATTGACTTGAAAGCCTTGAGCAGTTTGGGTGGAAACAGGTTAAGATAGAAGATGAACAGAAGAAAATTTGGAGCTTGGAATGCAGCATTGAATCATGCTAAAAATGGTTGCCACTGTGTGGCATGAATTCTTTTAAGACTTTAATTTATTTTTAAGCAGTTACTTGCAATTTGATTTTTTTCCCATTTTTTATCTTCCTTTTTCCCCCAAGTTGGTTTTTTTGTTGTTGTTGGTTTTTTGTTTGTTTGTTAAAAAGAAAGGGAACTTTTTACTACATAAGGGAAACATTCCTGAGAAATTGCATTCCACTTTGCAGCAGGAATTCTTTTGTGGACCTGCAAGTTATGAACCATTTATCAAATTTTAAAAGGCAACCAGTCATTATGTACTGGGGCAATAAATTTTATAAATCCTGTGCTTTTGTGAAAAGTTTGCTGTTACAGTCAGTAGAAATGACAGGAAAAAGGCCTAGATTCTCCTGTGTGGCAGATCATAAATGGTATGTGCAATGCATGTTTCTTCAGATGAAAGTAATAAAATGGTTTGAATATAGACTATGCAAATTTTATACAGTTAATTTTTTAGCACTTGGCAAAAACTGCTTTTCATATAAAGAAATACCTTCAGGTTAAACCTGACTTTCAAAGTATTCCTTATCTATTTAAGCAATAATTAGAAGTGAATCTGCCTCTGAGTTTGAGAAGTTATTCTCTCTATGTATATGAAGCCTTCCTCCTTCTCATGACGTCCATTTCTATTTTTTGGTGTCATTTAGAAACAAACTGGGGAGAAAACAACAACAACAACCGAAAAAGAATAAAATTTAAATCTTCCCAATGGGAATAAAAAACATGTGAATAAAAGGAAGAGGGACTAGAGAAAGAAAGAAGGAAAAACAAAAAACATGTTACAGTTTCAATACTCCTATTCAGCTATTTTTCAGTACGTTCATTTCTGAAAAATCTGAAACTCCAAATGGTTTTCTATTCTGTTACACTCTGAAGATTTGATGAACACTTGTATATATTTTAAACTACTGATTCTAAGTGACTTAAAAGAAATTGAATGTAAAGTTAACACTGAAAAAATGTGGAGGGCTTTGGGATTTCTTTTGAAAAAATAAAATCCAGAAAATTAAATGTTGGCTAGTGTGCTGACTCCTTTCAGTTCTTTTCCTCTTGTGTACCTGCATACAGAATGCAACAAAAACTGCCAATAACTTGAACTTGCAGAAGTTACTAAAAGTTCTTCCACTGCACTTAGAATTCTAGATTGGCTTTTTTGACGGCGGTTCAATTAATAATTACTTTTCTCCAAGTAGGAAATCTTGCAATTCATTGCAAAATGTGTTTGTATTGTGACGTTGTACTGTATCATTGAGAGCTACAGGGTTCCTGTAAAGTGTGGGGGTTTGTTGGCAGTGGTAGAGTTTGAATATTCACACACCCATCATGTGCACTGTATTCCATCTGCCCTGTAATTCTTGGACTGAGTGATTAATTATATTGGAAATGCTTCAGTATTTTGAGAGATGTACATTGAGCTGCTAAAGCCTGTCTGAGTTTGTCTCTTTTGATCTTTGCACAACCTTCTTAGTCACCACTTTGTTATTGTGGGAAGTGAGTGTGAGATGGTAATTCTTTATTACAGCAATTTGTGTTCATATATTTGTGTGTATATATAACAGTGTATAGCATCAATAGCCACAATTCATAAATTGAACTTTGTTTCAGTGCAAATACCATAAAATCTTTTTTGTGGCATATGTGGAGCTCAGGTATCTGTTTACACACCACTTGGCTGTAGGTCTTGCAACTTGGCCTTTGCATAAGGCCAGGACCTTATTTTTTGGAGTTCTGTTCTGTAATGACTCATCAGCAGAAAAGCAAATTATCCAGTGGTGTATCTGCTATATGTGGGTGTGTACAGAAACACTGATGTTTAAAAAAAAAAGCACTCAGGATATAAACTGAAGTAAGTTGTATATTGGAGTCAGCTCAGTGTGAGTTTTCAGCTTTCTACGTTTTAGTCGTATTTTTCAGTTGTTCATAGCGAGGACAAATTGTCTTTCACCTCTAAACATGGTTTTGGGTATGTCACATATTCTCTGAGGAGCAACAAGCCTATTTGTGCTACGATACAGCCTAAAAAAAATTCTTTTGGACCTTCTGTGCTTTTTTTGTTTTTTTCTTTTTTTGTTTCCGATCCAATATTTAAGTATTGCATAGGCAGCAGGGAGTCCAGAGGGAAAATAAGGAAGATGGTCACAGATGTCCCACAGAAAGGAGAACTTCAGGTCACTGCTTGTGTCTCATTTACCTTGGGATAGCCCATCTATGAGACAGCAAGCTGCAAGAAACCAGGCTCTGAATGAAAGGTGCTGTCACCTTTCTAGAATATTTCCCTCCCTTTTTAGAACTGAAAGCTGATACTGCATAGCCTTCATGCATTTCATAAGATACCGCAGATATTTGGTAGTTCATCAACTATTTGTTTTAGAAGCCATTAGTCTTGTCTGTTTCACATTTCCAGCCTGATGCCTTCAAATTCTATTTTAGCTTATGTTTCACTCTTTCCTTTTAGTTTTACTCCACTGTAGATCACACTTTTCAGAATCAAAGGGAGAAAGGAATTCTTTCAAGTACAATTAGAAAGACCCTGCTGTAAAGCAGGGTTTTGAAAAGTTGAAGTGGGAGGAAAATATCCTGTATTTCTCTGTCATATATAGGCCTGTTGATAAGGGCGTAGAGATAGTCTGGTCTCACATCTTTTAGCAGAAGCTAGTCTTTTAGGAATAAAAATAATATCTTTGTATCAAAGTCATAAAGGGAATTCAATAGTTAATATATAATTTTCTAATATGCTAATATTTTGTTTGAGGCTTGCCTTGACGTGGTAATAATGAAACTCAGTTTCTTTGGGCTATGTTAGTGCTTGAAAGAAACTGGGAAGAGAAAAGCCATCTTCTTCATGTTCTCTTCCAACTTCCACAAGGCCCCTGTTCTTCCTTCCTCTCCCTTCTTTTCTCTACTAGGGTTAGGAGTTTGAAAACTGAGGGATGGGATTGTGACTATCTTGTTTTTATTTATGTCTATATACTAGAATTTAGCAGAGATGAAGATGGTAGGGATGTAGGAAAATCACATGCACCTGTTTAATTCAACTGCTTATTGTCTTTGCTTCTCATTGGTTCCTGAAAATGATCAAGCTCTGATAAAAGTTATGTTTGCCTTTTTGATTGTAGATAGTATAGTTCACCTGTAAAGTGACTGCAAAAAACTCACCCTCAGACATGTTCTTCATATTTTCAGACTGACGACTTCGTATTGTCTTTTGAACTAGACAAATACTAGTATTATAAAATTGGTACTTAAATAGTATTATAGAATTATTATATATTGATATCTTCACTCAAGTGTAGATATCTGAAGTGTTAGAAGTCATGACTTGAGTTTAAGTTCCCATGTTTTTTGCAGTTAAACACTTGATGCTTGAAACAAATTCCATCTCAGAGATCAAAATGAGATTACTGAAGAGTTTGTCTATTGTTTTTAGGATTTGGTAAAGGCAGGTTGGGATTTGTGCTGACTGATGTGCTTGATGTTCAGCTTTGAACATTTTGCTCCATGTCTTCAAAATACTTGTAAGCCAGTTGATGCAATATGTGGGAGAGCTACCTGTTAAAAACTATCCTTTACTTCTCCCAGTCTTGTGACATCCTTCTGAAACCTTGGTGTTGGCATTACTTGCTACCAGGCTTCTGCTCAGGCTAAGTAACCATTAAAACCTAGTAACTCCTCCCTCCCCGTAGTACCCAGTAAGTTCTCTGGTGAATCCAAATCCATAGTTGTTAGCTCTGACTTTCATAAGAACAGTGAGCAGACTCCTAATATATTTTATTTCTTGCCAGTTACCTGCTCTGTGGATAGGTTTCTTATATTGTGGAAGCTGGAGACGCAGTGCAGAGCCTACAAGTTTGGTGGCCATGCAGAAGCAGTGACAAGTGCAGAGTTCTCACCAGATGGGCAGGTGCTGGCTTCAGCTTCTCATGATCACACTATCAGGCTATGGATTCCTTGCATGTGAGTATTACTGAGCACTGCTGGATATGTATTTCATTATTGTGTAATGTGAATATTGAAGGCTTCTCTCAAGTTTTGTGTTTTTTTCCTTCCCACCTGGGCTTTGACAGAAATGGAGATTGGGGACAACAAGCAACATGATTCTTCACTGTATTACTTTGTTATTTTCTGTTAATAATCTGTAGTTTCAAAAGAAAAATAACAACTCAGAGGTCACAATTTTGTGTGTTTAGAACTATGCTTCGTAATATTTCTCTGTCTTAAAGATTATATTTTAATAAGGATTTCATGGCTCCACTTCATTTTTGGGAGACATGATGAAGAAAAAAATCAGTTTTTGGAGAAAAACATTTTTAATGAACTTGCTTTATCATACTGTTCTTGACTAGTAGCAATTATGAGTTATTCAGTATGATCTTAGACTGATGTTACTTGAACTTTCAAGCAGTTTTATAGAGTACTGTATAAAAAAATCTCTTTCAAATACTAATGCTAATGAAACAAAAGGCCAATGTTGCTTAATTGCATTGTTCTGTAAAATTGGTCATGTTAGATGCAGCTTAAGAAATGTTACTCTAATAATATTTAAATAAGTAAAAAAGTAATGGTGACATTAAGATTTGACCTCTGTATACTGCTTTTTCATTTGGGTAAGATTCTAAATATGCTGACATTGAGTTTTACGGGGATTTAAAATCTAATATAATTGTGATTTGTGACTTAGTATTTGGGGTTTTCTTTCATTTTCTTTGCTCCCCCGCTTAGTCATGGAGAATCATCAGTACTGAGAGGTCATACAGCATCTGTTCGGAGTGTGAGCTTCTCCCATGATAGCTGCTCCCTAGTTTCAGCATCCAATGATAAATTACTAAAAATATGGAGTGTTTGCTATCAGCGCCCTTTGTTTACCCTATTCCAACACACTGGTTGGGTTCGCTGTGCCAAGTAAGTGTTGTTTTTATTCTGTCGATAAAATCAAATTTATAACAAAGATGATTTTATATCACAGGGTAGAAATAAGAGAAAAAAAGTCTGCCAATGACAAATGATCTCTCACCTATAATTGAATTTTAATTAATGAATGTTATGCACACAAGTTTTGTATCAATCTTGTAGCTGAAGTATGAAAGCTTGCTCTGTGTTTATATGTGTGTGTACGTACTTAATCAGTGTATTCACTCTATTACATTAAAAGACAAATGGGGTCTTCTGATTTGTCATGCATTGTAGGGATTTTCTCAACTATTCTTGGAATAGTAGTGTCATTAAAGAATGTCATGAATCCAGATGAGTTAAGCTTATATAATTGGAAAAGGTGAAAGAAATGGCCTTTGGACTTCAAATTAGGATTCATACTCTTTAAAGACAGGACAGCTCTTCAAAGACAAGCAACGACTGCTGATTTTTTTTTAAAAAAAATTTCCTCCGTATTAATGGAAAATCTGTAGCTAAGAGAGGCCTGATATAAACCTCTTGAGAAAGGAATTTAACATTGGTGAAGTGCAGACCCCTTCAAAGTTTCAAAGTATCTGTCTGCTGAAAATAAAAATGAAAGCTCTGGGAAATTACATGTGAAAGTTCTTGAGCGGTTTTTTAATATCATTGTGCAGTTGCTCAGTAAGTGAAATAATAATGCTTGAGGAAGTTATAGACAAGTCAATTTTCCTGTTTAAAAACCTTGTCTGCTAGTCTAGGAATAATTGTGAATGCTTTGTCCATTATTTGTAAGTTTAGAAAGAGCTCAGATAACATATATATAGGTTAACATTGAACAAAAGATTCTACCGTGTTCTCTTTGTCTTTTTGTCTATGGTTCTCTATAATAATTTCTTTGTCATCTGAAGTGCCATCCCTAGGTTGTTGATACCTTCCCCCCAACCTCCTCTCTTCCTCTTGTCTATGGCTCTGTTTTTAATTGTAGTTGATTGTGAAATGGGGCAGAGTGGAGTAGGGGGAGAAGGTTTTATTTTCAGTTTTATTAGTCCATAAGAAATACTGCAAGTTCAAATGTCCTTTAAATGCTCAGCATCCTTATTTCAAACAGGCTTCCCTGGTTCTGGTGTTTTGCTACTTACGTATCTAATTCTAATCTAGGCAAAATCAGTTGTTAAGTAATGTATACACTTGTGTGTTCCAGATTTTCACCTGATGGAAGAATAATAGCATCTTGTGGTGAGGACAAAGCCATTAACATCTGGGATACAAGAAATAAAATTTGTGTTAGTAGCTTCTCAGATTATGAGGAGTAAGTTTTACTAGAAAAAAAGGAGAAATGTAATAGTGTAATTTTAATGACATTAATTTGTGTTCTATGGTACTGACATATATATATATGTTAAATCTTAAAACAGATCAGAATTCTACCACCCATGTCAAGTGAAATAATTCATACAATGTTTTTCTAAAGAGGTTAACTGGCTGCACTTATCCAGTTGTTTTCCAGCAATCAAGAGATAATCCAAACAAAGATTGTTTTTGGATTTTGAAGTGTTTCCATGTTTTCTCTCCATTTTGATAATGCTATTTGATATTGGATGTTTCAACAAGAAAAAAGCTTGAGGACTTTTCCACTTGTTGATGAAACAATATTTTGTTACCTTCAGTGATCTGCCTTATTTAAGTTTAAAAAATACTTGCTTTTACTTATATGCAGTTTTCTTAAACATCTTGTATCCAGTTTTAGTTAAGAAGTCAGTGGAATATTTATCATGTATATGTGCTTTGCTGATTTCATGTCTGCCTTCATCCCTTTTCAAGTCCAAAATGTTGTTATAGCTAGATATTTGGTTCTTAGACAAAATTATTTTACTTGTTGCTTACAAACTCTTATTGAGAACTATCTTGTAGGGACTTTGTAGTGTAGCACAAACTCTGAAGGTTTGACTTGGATCAATTATACCATATTTTCAGCAAAAATGAGATTATGATTCATCACACACATCTTGTTTTCTTATGCTTATTTCAGTTGCTTGAAATGCCTTATTTGAGTTTTCCATATGTGTAGGTTCCACACAAGTTTGTGACAGCTCAGTGTTAATATTGTAGGTTTTATATAGATACACACCCCCCTAAATATTTCTGTGGAAACACATTATAAATCAGTTTTCTTTAATTATACTTAGATTTGCAACTTTTGTGGATTTCAACCCCAGTGGAACATGTATAGCTTCTGCAGGTTCCAGTAACTCAGTGAAACTGTGGGATATTCGAATGAACAAGTTACTGCAGCATTTCAAAGGTAAAAACAATGTAGTTTATTTTCTTTACAATGGGACTCTTTGCAATTAAATGTGATTTATTAAGAGTCTGTTATGTCATTCCTTACTGAGGAAAGTGGACAAACAAGTCATATTGACATGTTGCAAGTATCCTTTAGTAGTCTAGCGACCTTAAGAATCCAATCTGAATTGTTTTTATTTCTTTGCTTCTCTTAACTTTTAGAACTAAGCTAAACAAATACTTTGGAGAGTTTTCTATGCCCCAGTAGTTTGGTTGTTTTCCCCTTAAATGAAGTAGCTCTTCGGGAAGTAGAAAAGAGCAAAGAAATAAAGTGTACATATCCTCTTAGCAGATATCTACAGGCTTTGAATATTGTCTTCTGTAAATCAGTTCACAGAGCAGGGGTTAATTGTATATCATTCCATCCTTCTGGTAACTACCTCATCACTGCTTCTACTGACGGTACCCTTAAGATTCTGGACCTCTTAGGAGAAAGACTTATTTACACTCTTCATGGACACAAGGTATACACAGTAATGCTCTTTAAATGGAGATCTTAATAGGTTGTTCAGTATCTTTACCAAGGGAAAGTAACATTTATGCCATTGTGTCTTTTGTCTTACAACTTAAAGACAAAATTTAGTGGACTGCAAGGTGTATTAAGGCACCTTGTCACAAGTGGTTAAGGAAATGCATCAGTTTTTACCTGTAACCATGTTTTTTATCTGTCAATATTACACACTTGATGTTAAGTAAAAGCTTGTGTTCTGAATTCGTTAATAATTCACTTGATTTTCAAAATCATGTTATTTGGGACTTCAGTCATTTTGACTATTGAAAAACAGTGTTTTCGAAGGAGGGGGAAGCTTACAGAAGATAACTTCTGTGAAGAATGGCAAACATTTCCTCTTTTTCCTGTTAATGCCAAACAAACCTGTTTTTTGATAATAAATCATTCAAATGTATTGCCTTAAGTAATGTAATATGTATTTTGTAATATTTCATTGAAAAGCTGAAGTATAAAATCTAAGGATAATTCCACTATTTTCCTAGTATAGATTGTTGTAATTGTAATGTAGCATCTTACAAAAACGCGCAATGTTACCTTTTCATTCAAGTTTTGCAGAAATTTCACTACAGTAAAATTGTTCCTTGTTTTATTAAAATTGAAAAATCTATTATGTTAGGTAATGGCATCGGTGTTTTTCTTTTTGTACTAAAATACCATGCTTACAGTAATACCCTAATTTTACTGTATGCTGGATTTTTTTCCAGGGAGCTGTACTTTGTGTGGCTTTTTCAAAAGGTGGTGAAAAATTTGCCTCAGGTGGAGTGGATACTCAGGTTTGTGGTACTGCCTCCTTAAATGAAACGTCTTAATGTTTGTTCCAGTGGGTGGGAGTTAAATATAGTTTGTCACAGTAACATACTAATTACTCACATGCTTACATGCATTCTGTCTAGTAGTGTGTTGTATAGACTTTCCATTGGATGTTATGATGAGAAGACTAGCCACTTCTGTTTTGCATATTAAAAGAAAGGGATGATTTTTAACTAAAAATATTTAAAGCATTGCAATTCAGTGTCAACGAAGTAGTTGTATTGCAATTAATATTAAGGTTTAGCTGCTTTGTTAGGTTTTCACTGCTTTTAAAGTTTTTACACTCTAACTGTAGGTATGAAGTTGTATTACTGGGAAAACCTTGGCTAGAATTGGGGAGAAAAACTCTTGTGTTATTTCTACTAATTTACTTTGGTGAAACAGTAAAGTACTGGATTTTATACAGGGAAGACAAGATTTAAACTTTCAGTATGAAATATTCTTTAATATTAGTTGTCTTTTTCAATGTTTCCTGTTACAAAAAGTTAAAAGCTCAATGTAGATATAAAAAGCTATGCTGTTGAAATTAAAATCTTTTGAGTTTACCATATTCATGGCTATGTTCTGTTTTGTGGAGCTTGAAATAAATTTCAGCTTTGTGGAGCTTGAAATAAATTTCAGCTAGTGGCAGAGATGGTCTTGGGATATAAAAAAACTTTCTTTATTACAGTGTTAGGTAAGAAGTACTTCCAAGACTTGAAGTTATTGGAAAAGTGAAATGTTATCAATCATCCAATATTAATTTTACAAGCAGGGAAAAAAACCTACAAAAGCCAACCAAGAATGGGGAAAAGATAATTATTTCTTGACCTACTAGTATGAGCTTTTATTTTCCATGCTAAAGTTGTAAATAAGATTTTAAATCCCAAAATGCAGCTTTGGTCCTATGTGATTCTGAATTGTTGATCTTACCTTCCATGAGTATTTTATTTTGAGTTTTATGACTGTTGGTATATTATACTGAACTTGAGAGGAACAAAAGTGCCTGCATTCACTAGGTAACGTGACAGAAGATTAATCTAAGAAGCTCTGATGAAGGACCTACAATATTAAGCCTAGTACAGCTTCCCCACTGAATGCCAACACACCCTGGGAATGCCTGTCTTGTTTGGAAGTTCCTTTGAATTTGGGGCACCCTGAATGACATGTGTGTTCAGTGCAGTCATGTCATTGCCTTTTTCCTGCCCTGATTTTCTGTTGTAGAGCTCATGGGGCATGACAGCATGGAGAAAGTAGGTAAAAATCTGTCTCGTATTTTTCAGCAGTTGATATAGTGGGTTCATGCTGAATATATGAGATGGAAGATCCACTTTCATCAGGAAGCACTTCCTTAGTTGAATGTTGAATTTAAAAAGTAGTCATAGCAGATCTGCTAATAACTGTTTAAATTCCCTTAAAAATTTGCCTTCCTGTGTTTGTTGAAGTTTTTCATTGTTTTATGGGTTTTGGTGGGTGAGGAGTACTTACTTTGCTGCAACTTTCACTTTTCTAAGTTTTAAAATGTGCTAATCACTGTTGGGTATTCTTCAGTGTCCATTTGTACTTCCGAAACATCCTGGTTTGCTGAGCCATCCACAGCCTTCTTCCAGGTGTGCCAGGAGGATGGTTGTGGGACTTCTTGTCAACATACTGTGATTGTTGATTTACTGTAATTGTAGGGTGTATTTGTTGGAGAAATTCTGCTGCCACACCAGCAACATCATGCTTATGAGCAGAGGCTGGCCGTAAAAGTATCAGCTTCTACTCCTCATGCAGTACCCAAAAAATATAATCTGTTCACAGCATGTGATAGAGGCAGCTGATACATTCTAAGTTTATGGGAGACTGCTCCCTTCATACATATTTGAAAACATAATAGTCTTGAAATAATATAACTTGACAGATGCTTCCATACCTTTCCATCAAAGAAGGAAAACCAGTACTTCTGCTTCTTGTATCAAGTTTCTGGTTGTTCAGAAGCACATTAAATATTTGAAACAAACACTGGATACTTTTGTTTCTTTCTATTTGCTTATTTCCTCAAACAAAAAAGATCTCAAAGTGTAGTGTTGTAAAGTTCATGTTCCTCACATTTTTGGCTATATGTGCACATGGCATTTCATTAATCTGTTGCCATGGAAAACGTAAGACCTTTTGTGTGAAAGAGTAAGGTTATACCTGTTTGTTTGGAAAGCAGTAGTCTATGCTGTCAATTCAGTTACTTTCTAGAAGAGACAACCTGTGTCTGAGGAAGGCCTTTCTGTGAAGGGAAATACTTCTTTATGAAATATCCACCTTTCTAAGGTTGTGCATATTTGCTTTTGTGATTTTGCATTGCAGTTGAGGTACTCAAGGCATATGTGGATGTTTCCATGCTGGTTTTACTCTTACCAGTTTTTTTCTTATCTGTAATGATGAAGCTGCAGGGATATAGTCTTTAATTTTAGAACAAAATGAAACATATTTAGAGCTTGAGCAGCTCAAAATCTCACCTGTGATAGATAAAGGGTGAGCTGCCTCCTGCCTTTACTGTTATTTACACTCAGTAAATATTGAAGTGTTGAAACACTTCAAACTGCTAAACTAGCAGAAAATTAGCCTGAAAAAAATAAGGGGAAACTACTAAAAAAATGTAAGTAACTTTATTCTGGACTAAATGATGGAAGGTTGTAGAACCTACACAACTAAAGAAGGAGAGAAAGCAGGAGCTACTGTGAAATCAACTACTCTTACCTAACAGTCCTGCAAGTAGCAGGTTCTGAGGAGGGTTGAGGTAGGGGATCTGTGCATCCCTCTTTCACTGTTACTAATGTCTGAGTTAGTCTGGGTTCACCTTTATTGGTGCACTGTCTCCCAGTGCATATTCAGGGTCTTTGACTCAAAGGTGTCATGAAAGATGTGGAACTTGAAATGAACTTGTAGTAATGCAGCTATTCAGGAATATATTAAAACTATGATATAGTGCACTTGAAATTTCTGTGAACAAATTTATGATTTGTTTTGCTTAATTATTAACGCCTGAAAACTACTTTTAATATCTGTCAAAAATATTATTGGCTGGTCTTTTCTCCCTTAGTATGTAAAGTAAGAAGTAGTTCACAGGTCATGTAAACTTAATTAAATTACTTAAATATGCAATTATTTTGTGACATGAGAGAGCAACATTGTGTGTTGTGATTTTGTTTTTCGGAATCTTCGTAAGACTGGATACATAAGTCCTTTGGACTACCTCTATATCCTGCAACCTTCTGCATTTGGTCATTGTGTGACTTGCATATTGTTTCTACCTAGAACATAATTAGATGAAGTTCAGGAAAGAGATTTCTGTTGCTAAAACACTTTTTTAGAGTTTCAGAGTTCTGTAGAACTCTCTCATTTCTTTTATTCCTTCAAACTTTCTTGTTAGACCTGCAAGCCTTTATATGGGGCAGAAATTTTACAGTATGTGATCCCTTGATCTGGCAGAAAAGTAACTTGGGACAGTTCAGTGGGACATGAGTTTGTTTTGTGATTATAGACATATTTTAGAGGTTATTTTTTTAATAGAATGAACCACATCTTTTAGGATTAAAGTAAAGTTACTCTGGGGAAGTGCCTGTGTTGCGGTAGGGATCAGGAGAAGGCATCACTGCAGCATCATTTTGATGCAGTGATCTACTAGCAGTAACAGACTTTACTGAGTAGTTATGTTTTGAGTACTGAATAGCCTTCAAATAGTTACTGATATAAAGATTTCTTACAGGTATTACTGTGGAAAACCAACTTTGATACTTTGGATTATGAAGAAGTTCTCAAACACAATTTTAGAAGAACACATATTGATGATCCTCCTCATCTTCTTGATATTTACCCAAGGTCATCTCATTTACATAGTAAAAAACTCAAGTCAGTTGAGGTGAGTGTAATAAATTGTCTGATTTAGGAAACAAGAGGCTGACTGTCTGACATTTGTAGTTAAATATGTTTTATGTATACCAGTGAGCTTTTAATTGTTATATATAATACTTTGGAAGCAACTGTAACTTAGGAATCTCCATTAGGATTATTAGGCAAGCTGGTGCTGGCAGGTTTATGCTGAAATTACTTTCATGTTTCTTCTGTGTCTGTATCCTACATCTGATTCAAGCAAAACATACGTTATAATCTGGTTTCTGAAATAACACTGCAAGTGTTGCAGAAGGCATCAGAATCTCCAATGAGCTTTAGAATACTAATAAAAACAAATCATTGTGAGCAGGACAAAGTGATGCTATTACTGAAAGTCAGTAAAAGATATCACAAGCTATTCCTTTTTCCAAGGCCTTTAGGTATTGTGAGATGATCTTGATACCTATCTAAAAGACTTTCTAGGCTACCAGTGTGTTTTACATCGCTATGTAGTCTGATTTCCTGATATTTCATTCTTGAACTACTTTACTGTCAAACTGTCCACTGGCATTCATCAAAAGTGTTGGAAATTAGGGAACCTAAGTGCAATGTCAAATGTTCTGTGTCAGTATTAGGAAAAATCCTGTGTTTAAGTAGTCTGAAAGATATCCTGAACAGGTAAATAGTGTTATGCTTTCAATGAGGCCATTGTTTATGTAATGGTCCCTGACAGAGCTGCCTGGCTTCTATATTTTCTTCTTTTTTGATAGTCTCCAGATTGCTTTAGTGTTGAACTATATCTGAGATAAATCTAGGAGCTTTCTGATTGCTGTAATATGCTATCAGAGTACTATAGAAATTCACCATTTCCTGGCTGTCTACATAGAAAACGTAGATACTGCTGCCACGGCATTTGTTTCATTTTGCTCAGAGTTTTCAAACATTAACATTTGGGGATATTGAGCCTTTTTTTGGGTGGGTGGCTGTGTTTGCAATATGAATATATGAAAATGAATAGTATAGAGATTGAAAATATTTGCTGGAGGAAGGGAACTCTGATAAAATCTATGACTAAGATTTCTTTTGTGCCTGATTCTATTGTCAAGTCGGATGTGAAGCTTTATAATGCTTAGTATTTTGGTCAGAACAGGATGACTGTATGTATGACAAGTTTCATAAACAAACTTCCGTGCTGGACTTTCATATTTGTTGTAAGGTAAATGAATGAAGTTAAGTTTACAGGTACCAGCCTTTAGTATAGTTGGTAAGTGCCAGAACAAACTCAATCACAGCATTTGCCAGCAAATTCAAACCAGTCTTGCTGGAGCAACATTTTGCTTCAAGACCATTCAAATTTTTTTTTTTTTTTTTCTTGTTCCTGGTCCTGTATAATTGAGAAACTCTGTATAAGCATTAATGAGTTCAGGCTAAAGCTAAACTAAGGCTAGGAAGCCTCATTATGAGTACTGAAGGGGCTAGTCAGTACTTGAATGTCAAGAAATTATTTGTTAGTTAGCTTTGAGATTTAACGTAGCCTTATGTCTGTATTTATTCTGCAGCATTTGTTGCAGCTTATAGGCTCCTGGGCTGCTCTGTAGTAGTGAAAGAGCTCTATGGCTTTGTCATAGCAAAGTTTGGACTCTTTGTGTTCTATTTTCTGGCCTGATTTCAGGCTTTTAACAAGAGTTGCTGTATCTAGTTTTCCATTAACATCATATTGTCACTAGAATATCCTTCTCTCAAGTAAACACCAAGTATGTTACATATTTGAGACAAAACAGTGTCTGACAGTTTCAACAAAACTCATTACTTTAATACATTTTTATATATTTAAATTAAATAATATAGTAACAGTTATTAGAATTGCTTTTGCAGCTAATTTTTAGAATTAATATAATAATATTGTAATTGAGATGGTGTTCAGGTGACATTATCAAATTTCCATATGTCTTTTTTTTTATTGCTTCTCCTGTCTGTCTCAATAAAAATTGTGTGATTTTTGTTGTGATGAGGAAGAACAGACCTTACTGATTGGACAAAAGCATAATTTATCCAGACAAAACTGGTATCAGGTTACTACCAGCAGTAACATGCTTCAGTTAGTGTGCACTAATTCTTAGGTGGCACTGTGCATGAAATTTTTCAGTGTTCCATCTTCTTAACTATTTCCTCTTGTAACTGAGAAAAAGCATATTGTCTAGACCTGCTATGCTGTACTCTGGAGAAGAAAAAAAGAAAAAAGTATTTTTGTCCTTTTTCAGTTAAAATATTTTTTTTTTCACATGCCAACCTCTTTCTATGCCAGAAGCAATAGAGAGAATTCTAATGTTAGGCTGTTCCACTGCAATCCCACCCTCATATTTCAATGGCTCATCATGGTTCCCATATATAAGGGAAAGGAGGAATGGAATCACAGGCATGTCAGAGGGAGCTTCTGGAGATCGTCTCTTCTTCCTATCAATGGTACATCAGTTCAGCTGTGTCTGGTTAGGGGGCCTTGAAGAGGGTTGGAGATTCCCCTGTCTGTGTGATCTATTCCACTACAGCACAGCAGTTGTAATGACAGTTTTTTCCTTTTATCTCATCTACACCTCAGATAATATGCAGACCTACTTCCTTTCTTGTTTTCTTCCTTTCTCTTCATATTTCTATATGAACAGGGTAAGATAATTGATCTTAACTAAACAGAAGTTAACACTATTCAAAGAAACTTGGTAACATATGCAAGAATTACATGCAGACAGAGGAGGCAGTTCAGAGATGGGATTTTTAAAAGTATCAGTGAATTCTTAAGGCTTCCTACAAGCCACTACAATGTCATCTAAATACTTGAGATGTGTTGTAATACATTGCCTTGAGTTATGCTCAACTGGTTAAGTTTAGTCACCTCTACAACAGGAATGAAGAAGGATTGCCTTAGGATAAAATTAAAGGTGTTAGAACACAAAAAGTTCAGCAGATGTACAGGCAGAACTCAAGAGGAAAGTAATTTTTTACTTTTTTACCTATTTTTTAAAATTCCTAATGTTCCACACCTTTCCTTTTTTTTTTTTTTATTTTTTAAATGCTTTTGGTTAGCTATTGCTTCTCTATCCCTGCTTGTCTCAGTGTGGCAGAGCAATTCCAGAAATCAATTCTGGGGAAATAGTTACACAAAAATGGATCTGGCTTAGAATTTATTCAGCTGAGATCAGAAGCACAGTTGCAATGTTTTCACACATCACCTGTTGGAAGTGTTCTTTTGAATAAAGCAGCTGGCACAAGAATTCCAGGTATCATCTGGTGTTTTGCCTTCAGGACAGTGGCAGAAAGATTAAGCTTAAGTATATTTTGCCTTTTCTGATAATTCTTTTTTTTATTCACTCTTCAAAGCTATACAGCAAACCAATAATGTTTCAGATACCTTCCCTATTTTTTTCTCTCTCCCTATCTATTTTTTGAGGCATAATTAACTTTCACAAGAAAATCATTAGTTGTGTCTTCTTCTCAGCCCAGCCTGAATTTTAATGCAGTGTTGAATTTCATGTTATTACTTGTAAAGCTTTATACCTGTTCTCCAACTGCACTGATCAATGTGATTCTTGAATATTCGAGTAAGTAGAGAATTAATGCTTATAATCATTGCAATTTTTCAGACAACTTGGAAATATAAGTAAATTATTTGCTCTCTGAAGGTGCCTACATTTTCCTGTTGACTGTAGAGATAATCTTAGGTGATTACCAGCTCAAATACAGGTGTCTAGCAGTATCTAAATTTAGCTGAGATAAACCCCAGTTGTTGTCTCTGACATAAGGACCTTGTGGAGTTATTTGAAAACAGTATGTTTAATCAGTTATGCAGTTTTAGTGAAATATACAAAAAACTGCATTTGACTTGGTGAGAATTGTATTTCTTAATTTGTCATGTTTGTATGTAATTGACCTTTCATGTGCTGAAGACTTCTTTAAAATAAATGGAAGATTAGAAACTAGTTTCTTTCAAAACAACTTTGAGATTCGAACATATTAAGGTGTATAGAGTTTCTCTTGTGCACAAATAGCTTCTGTTGATTTAATTTAATCTTAAAATTTTCAGTGTAATTTCAGTTGTAAATATTTTCTTAGATGAAGGAAATTGAAATATACACTAGGTGGCAGTAGAAAAAAGATTATATGGCTTGCTTGGTGTGAGTGCCCCAGCCTAGAACAAAGAACAGTGTTTAACCAAATTGAAAGCTAATTTTCCCTTGCTGTGTTTGGAGAGATTATTTCAGAAGCAGCTATAGCTAAATCACTTTCCTAAGAAATACTTTGAGTAATTTAAAACTTCCTTTTTTAATTTTATTAACTTTATTTTTCTCGTTTGTGAAAGATTCTGTAGAAACGTTCCCTATATTTTATTGTACTATGGATCAAAATGTGATAATTGTATTATCATATTAGAAGTTGATATTGAAAGATGATCTTGAAAATATTTATGCATCAGTTTACCAGGTAATTAAAACAAGGCTTTGAAAGAGTGTTTTTGGAACCCTGTAATACATGACAGTACTCCCTGCCTTGCATTTTGGTGCTCTGGTTTTTCTATCTTGTTTCTTAAAGTTAAGACTTTTAAAGACTTACCTTTAAGACTTCCCTTGGTCTTATTTATTGTTTTACAGCTATTAGTTATTTTACAGCTAACTACATCACCTTGTCAGGAAATGTCAAGTAATTTGAGACTTTTACATTTAGCTGCATTCCATTACCTCATTCATTTTTAGTGCAATATTAAACACTAATATTTGTACGAAGGACTTAGATACAGCCTCTATATTTTTGCACATTTTTAGACACTTTTAGATGCTATTTCTGACTAGTTGCTTAATAATTTTTTATTTAATTCTTTTAGTATAGCTTTTGATAGTTCCTCCCCTGCCAGTCGGTGTTTACACTGCTCCTCATCCTCCCCTTACCACTGATAAAGCAATGAACAGAAGAATACTAAGAGGAACTTTCATTCTAGCTCCAGGATGTGACACTTCTACAAAAAGAGCATTTTTTTTTCATTTAATAATACCATGTATTTATTTACCAATCTGTATCAAGAATTTAACTCATTCTGCAAAATTTCTGATATAACAAAATCTCTGATATATATAACAAAAAGGTTATATATAGGTTCTCAAAGAAGATGTTTCAAGAGCTATTAGTGATAATACTGCAGTAGTTCCTCCACATTAGAGTGCTGATAGGTAGGAGGTGTCTACAGTCCTTCTGCAGAAGCCTGCAGATGCATTGTCCTCTCTTCAGGGACTCGGGGTTGATTGTCCCTGAGTCCCTGTTCATTCTTGACTGATGCACCTGTAATTGGAAGACAGAAAAAGAGTTCATCGATGAAGAATGGCTTGTTGAAACTGCATAAAAGAAAGAGCTAAGCACTGCTATTCAGAGAAGTGAACAAGCTTAAAAACAGTATTAAAATCTCCCCTTAAGGAAGGTTTGTCATCCCAGCTTTGTAAGCACTGCAAAGTGTAAGAATCACTTTGAATAATCAGGCTGTTTTTAAATGTTTCTTCTTGCTTGCTGGTAAACTTTGTCCATCTTCCACTTGTAGTTACTGAGGGAGATCTTGCTTCTATTAATTGTAACCTAAATTTCTGCAACTTATGGAAATCTAAATAAACTGAATGAAAAGTCTTTAGGCAGTACAAGATGCTGTTGCCCTCCTTCCCTGACTATTAATTCCAGATATAAGATTGTATTCTAGCTACTTAACAAACATGTCTTTGACCTAAAGGCCTTTATACCAATTTATGGACCCTAGCATCATGGATTTTTCCCTGTGGAAAGAGTACTGAAGCAGTTACTGAGTGAGCAGCTCTGGCTGAGCCAGAACTTTGACACTCTTCAGGTGAAATAGTAGGATCTTCTTCTTGAGAAGTCAAAATAAAATGACCCTTGAAGCTAAGAAACTTTCTGTGACTAAACTTCATCCTGTCACTAGGCAAGTGTGAGTTTTGAGGGTTCTGGGATTTTTTTTTTCTGCTTTCAGTGAGGTGGTTGCAATTAATACTCTCTCTGTATTACTGAGAAAAAGTTGGAAATAGAAAAGTTCATTTCTCTTTATTACATCAGACTTCTTGGTGATTTGCAAGTCATCTAATCTTTATGTAAATTTTGCCAGCTTATGGAATAATAAGAATAGTACTTCCATGCATCATGCTGAGAGGGCAAACATCTTAGGCTGTGATACACCTAGATAATATAATAGTAGGAATAATATGCACACAGATTTTTATAGGGAGGTTATTCTGATCTTTATGTGGAGCCATAAGATAAAAGCAGCAGCTTTCTCAAATTTCATATTCTCTGATACTTTCTTAATGCTTCACTTTCAGGAAAGGACATTAGCAAAATATTGATAAAGTTATAGATGAACTTCTATAGCCAAAAATAAGCAAGTTGTAACTGAGATATTAAGAGCAAAATTGCAGATACTGTGATGATGTATCTGATCAATCAGCCTCTGACATTGTCCTAGTATAAAGCAGTTTTTCCTGTGGTTTCATGGGCAACATCGCTTGTTTGATCTGTTAACTTACCACAGATTTCAGTGTTGCTTCCTACCTGTTTTCCACAGAAGTGCTTTCAAAGTTATTTTGGCAATCAGAGCTGGTACAGAAGAAGTAAGCATATTGACAGTCTGTTAGTAGTGGATAACTTGAGGAACTTGAATGGGGATTGGGAACCAATTGATCTGGGCTGCTGAGTGTGTCCTCACTTTTTATTTCAGTCTTATTTCCTTTTCTGTGTTGGTGCTGAAATAATGACATAATTAATTTTCAACAGGTCAACTCTATCTGTGATGTGCCTGATAAACAAACACCTGACACAATTATCGTCGAAATTAGACCATCTTCACGTATCAGTACTACTGTAAGTAACTTTTTTTAAAAAAAAAAAGGATAGGGTATAGCTAACATGTTACAGAAATGTGCTTTTATTGTCCATATGAATGAAATAGATTTTTTTAGCAACTGTCGAGTGCTCAGAGCTCAATATCCTAAATTCTCAACTTAAACTTTCTGTCTCAGTTCCCAAGTCTAACCAGAAGATGGTGTAATAGCAAAGCTTTCATTTTATACCTGTAATTTTACCACTATACTAGGTGCAAATTCTATTTATAAACCCATGCTAAGTACATCTAAATATTGCTGTTAAAATTTGTGGCTTATTCTCAAGCACTTTTTGTAGTCTGTCTTTATCTGCAAATAATGGTAACCCTAAAGAATCATTGTCTCACTTATACAATTCTAAAAGTGATGTTTTATTATTTCTCCTTTTAAGTAATTTAATAGTTCCCTAGAAGGAAAAAACCCAAAAAAAGCAATACATTTTAAGACAGAGGAATAGGATTAGAGTCTTCTAGTGTTGGCTTTACATATGACATTGGTATGGCGTGTGGGAGGAGAGGAAGGCAATGTTTTAGCGATAGTTTCGTGGGAGGAGAAATATGCTCTCCTGGTATGAAATCTAAAAGACATGCTGTCCTAGAATTAGGTTAAACTGAGAATTTTTCTTTCAGCTCGGAATCTGTTCCTGTGAAGGCACAAATTGTGTCTTTAGCGATTTTAGTTACTGTAAAAAGTTTGTGTGGTTGAAGGGTTAATACTTACAAAAGGGTTAATACTTAGGAAAAGGTGTGGTTTCTGCTGTTCTGTTTTGTCATGAATGCTTTATGAAAGCTATGTTGTGACGGTACTATATAAAATTCTTAAGATCATCTTTCAAGATCATGATGCCCAGGTTGTTGAGAAACCTTTACTTAAAACAAATAATCATATAATGACTTGTATTTGAGGGGTGATGATGTTATATATTTTAAGGCTTGTCAATTATGTCATGTTTTCACAGTGGAAATGTGGTTCTTTGTAGACTTACATCTGTTTAGTAGGCTTCATAGACAGTGGATTGTGGTAGATATAATTTATTGACTACCTATCACTTTTAAGTACTCAGTGTTCATTACTGATTCTGCCCATCACAGGGTTCAAATGTATGGTTGCACTGTAGTTCTTTATTACATACCTACAAATCTTTTGATTAATTCTTTTGATATGAAAGCAGCTTATAAAACTTTATGCCCAGAACTCAGAGGAATACATTGACCCAAGAGGTACAGCGTTTTTTTGACTGCTGTCTGTCTGGCTTTACGAATCTTCATTATAAAAATGTTGCTTCAGAACTGATGCTTTTCGACTGTGTCAGTAATCACTATTTTTTTTTTTCTTGCATCTCTATTTACCAGTTATCATTGATTTTCACCACAGTTGCATTTCAGCATTCCCCATCTGTGTCTTTTTCCATCTAGAAACATTTCTATAACCTTGTTACTTGGACTGTAGCCTTAAGGGCAGCTGTCCTGTTCAACACTGGTTAACCCTAACCCTGCCACTGTTCACACAAATTCAAGAATCATTTGCATGATTCCATTGCCAATAAAATCCTTCCTCTCTCATAGTGAATAACACTTTCTCCAGCTTTGCCAACCAATCTGGTTCTCCCTGCTTTCTAATGTCAGCTCATCTTTTACTATCATTTTCCTGTCCCATGTCTGTCTGCTGCATTACCAGCTTCTGTCATTTGTGGAATTACCACCTGTTTCTTAATCAGGCCAGCCACCTAGACTCTTTGTGTCTTGTTTCTAGAGGGTTCTGGATCTCAGTGACTTGGACCTTTTTATCTTAAGCTTTCTCAGTTTTCCTAAAGTATGAAGACTGTCTAATAGAGACTTCCTGTGTTCTTCATAAGAAACAATGAGAAAAGGGCAGATGCAGCCTTTATTTCTATCACACCTTCAATGGCAGATTTCCTCTTGATACAGTTTGTCCTCAACTGAATTGATGCTGCTTTTGTGCATTGTTTGTATTTTTTTTTCTTAATCCTTTTCCAACTTGAGGTTGCCATCCTCTAGTCCTAGTCTAATTCATCATTCTACCTCATACATATTCCTGATTCCAGCCCCAATGGGTTGCTCTTTTTCTATTGGTTGTCAAAGACATTATCACTGTGCATTTTTGTTTCCCTGCAAACATTTCAAGACCCATTTTAAATCTGTTCATGGCTTTTTGGTACTACTTCTACTGAAAGAATGCTCTTCAAACAACAAAAATTTTGGATCAGATTTTCAGGTTAATTTACACACGTCCTATCTATAGCTGCTTATTCTTTTAAGGCTCTGTCTTAAGGAGTTCGGCCCTTCTGATATGAGCAGAGAGAAAAATGCAGTCTGCATTTAGATATCTTTATGCATTCTTGTTCGATGCATTTATCACATGTCTAACACATCAGGATCTTAAGGGTTATTAGCAAAACAGGCAGGTCCCTAGACCACTGGAAGTAGCTAATCAACATATTTACTTTAATGTTTCTACTGACGGAGACAGATACTTGAGACGCCAGTTGGAGAAAATGTGACTCTTTAAACACAGCCTTTCTCTCGGGTGAGTAACAGCACTGAAGCTTTTGTAGAATCTCTGGTGAGTTTCTTAAAGCCCCCTGAAATGTCTTCAGGAAGATTATAAGTCTATGCAAAACCTTGTAATGTTTTGTTGAACAACTACCACAGTAAGTGGTCAAAAACTTCTGTAGGTCTCAGTCTAGTTCAGGTGAAGAGATAATAGGAGAAAAGTGCTCTTCTTATTGAGAATCTTTTCTTTAGCTGGAATTGTTGTCCTACTCCTTTAAGGGAAATCCACTATAACTGCCTCTAAGATGATTTATGACGGTGCAGAAAGGTATTTTCTTTTCCTTCCTTCTGTGAAGATTTGTTAGTGAAAGGGATACAGTATAGGTTAAGAGGGATATCTGGAGTAATATCATCTGACCTTCCCCTTAAAGCAAAGCCAGCTTGCATCGGGTTCTTATAAGCCTTGTCCAGTTAATTTGTTAATAATGTGTAAAAATAGAGATTCCACCACCTTTCTGGGCAGCTTGCTCTAGTGTTTGGTTGATGAAAATATTTTTTCTCATAATATGTATCTAGAATATCCTATGTCCCAACATGTCTGTTGCCTTCAATTCACAGTGGTCTTCTAATATATGTGTGTGTCTGTCTTCTTTCTATCTACCCATTAGATATCTGAGATGGCAGCAAGATCTTTTCTTCCAGAGAACAAACCTGGTTCTCTGCCTTTTCTTGGCATCACATATTCCAGCCCCTTTGTTATCTTGTTTGCTCTCAACCCTACTTGCTCCAGGATGTCAGTGTCTGTCTGGGAACAGGAAGCACAAAAGAGGACACACTACTCCAGTTAATTAGGGTATAGCAAAGTATCACCATCATCTGTTCTTGACAACAATCTGCCTAGATTTTAGAGAAGATTTTAAAACAAGTAATTAAAAATATAACACTCTTGTTTCTTTATTGTGAATTTAAAATACATGTTTAGGTATTTTCTTAGCAGTTCATTTATTTTGAGCTCTAGCTGTCTGAGAAAATACTAGTATTATCTCTTCCTCCTACTCCTCCTCCTCTTTTCAAGGAATTTTAATTTCTTGCTTCATCAAAACCAACAATCCATCACAGCTTCCACATTTAAATTGCCTGCTTTTGTGATTTTTGTTTTTTTTTAAAAAAAAATTTAGTTGTATTTTTTTTGCTTCAGAGGTTAAGCTAAGATATGCTGATATGAATGTTCTTACAGGGATTTTGCTAAAAACACTTATATTATTAAACTGCATGAATTGTAAACACCTTATCTTTTTAGTTTCTGCTCTAGCTTAGTACCAAGGCCAGTTGTTTTGAACACGGTGAAAAATCTTTTCTCATCTAACGTTCACATTGATGCAACTTTTGTAAACTCAGTGGAGTGTGACCCTTGTGTCTGTGGAAAAATTTCAGTGTAATCTCCAGTATGGAGTTGCTTTCTTTTGGACTACAATTTAAAACCATTAAGAATTCCTGTGTATTATTATGGTTAGGAAATAGCTTTGGATTTGATGATTCATGTATTCAGTTCTCCTGTGTATTAGTGAAAGCACTGTAAAAATTAGCTGTGTATGCCTAACAAACTGGTACTTGTGTAATGAGTTGTAAAACTTGTCCTGAGTTTTTCAATGGTTAAGGGTCTTCATGTGTTACAGTTACTAGAAATTAGGTGTGTTCTGGCCTTTTGCACTCTGGAAATATTTACTGAATTTGGGTCAAATCTGGGGGCTGGGAGTGGTGTTTTTTTCTCCTTTCTATTTCATTGAAGACTCTGAAAGCGTTTCTGCCTCTCTCCCACCCCTTCTCTCTGTGTCAAGAAGCTTAACATTGCCTTTGTTTTCTGAACTATTGAAAAGGAAAAATTGGAAATTTTGTTTCTCTTTGGGAGTACTTCTTTCTGTTTCATCCTCCAATTTTAGTTTTAGTCATGAGGGAGGTTGGGTCTTTTTAATTCTGTACAGCAATATGCTGGTAACCTCTGGTCCGTGATAAGCTGTTGGAAACAAGGGAAAGTTGATGGTGCCTCTGTAGTTTTTACTGACAGAAGCAGGAAATCACTGTAGAGGCTCTCTAATGTTTCATCCCCTGACCTTGCTCATGTAAACAGGATTTGGAGGAAGCAAAGCAATGTACTGTAATCTGGAAGTCAGAATGTCTGCCCTGGCTGGGAAATGTTTGCTGTTCTTTCTCTGCCAGTGCCATTTAACACTAAAAACAAGACATTCTTATTGTTCATTCACAGTACAACTTCTACAAAGTTAAGACTGGGTTAATTACTGAGTGAGGAAAGATAAGGATTGTTTCTGTTTGGAGCAAAAAGAGCATACTAAGTTTTAAAATAGAAAGTATATCTGTACTGCATTTGTAGTAGGTGTCTTGAGGCAAAAAGTAGAAGTATCTGTACTCTCAATTTGTTCTGTACACATTGCTTTCTCAGTTTGTGTTT